TGACACCAATCATTCAAAGTATCTAAAAAAGGTAAAAACAAATCTTCATTCGAAAAAATAAACATTATCGTTTTTTTATTTGATAATACATAGATTGATCGAATGAGTGATGATATCAACTATCAAATCATATCAGAAAGATTCATCTCAGTGACCTATAGAGTATGGAGCCCCCCCCCCCCCCTATCACATAGCAATTTTTCTGTTTGAGGAGAATTCTGTTGCCAAAATTTGAAATTCTGATTGCTGACCTTCAAACTTTGAATCGCCTATACTCGTAATTTTAATGGCTAGACACATTGCATTACAATTTGACTCGATCCAATCATCCAAAATATATTAAAAAAATGAAAATCAATCTTTCACACCCCCCCCCCCCCCCCCCCTATAGTAAAAACAGCAATCTTCAGCATTTTATCAGGTGTTGTCTGGTATGCGATCATAAAATATGCATTTTCTAAGATTATTATTTCCGTTTTCTCTTTTAAATTTCGCAGCATTACTGCTCCTTTACAATGCTCCTTCACCTCCGGATAATAATTCTGATGATATACTGCACTACGTGTCCTTTCAGTTCTCTATCAACAGCATTAGGTACAAGTACAGGTTCTACTGAACCTACTCTTACTCCTGAACTGACTACTTCCGCTCCTGGACCGAATAATCCTCCTCCTAAACTGGCTTCTCATCCTCCTGGACCAACTACTCCTACTCCTAAACTGGCTTCTCATCCTCCTGGACCGAATACTCCTACTCCTAAACTGGCTTCTCATCCTCCTGGACCAACTACTCCTACTCCTAAACCGGCTTCTCATCCTCCTGGACCGAATACTCCTACTCCTAAACTGGCTTCTCATCCTCCTGGACCGAATACTCCTACTCCTAAACTGGCTTCTCATTCTCCTAGACCAACTACTCCTACTCCTAAACTGGCTTCTCATCCTCCTGGACCGAATACTCCTACTCCTAAACTGGGTTCTCATCCTCCTGGACCGAATACTCCTACTCCTAAACTGGCTTCTCATCCTCCTGGACCGAATACTCCTACTCCTAAACTGGCTTCTCATCCTCCTGGACCGAATACTCCTACTCCTAAACTGGCTTTTCATCCTCCTGGACCGAATACTCCTACTCCTAAACTGGCTTCTCATCCTCCTGGACCGAATACTCCTACTCCTAAACTGGCTTCTCATCCTCCTGGACCGAATACTCCCACTTCTAAACTGGCTTCTCATTCTCCTGGACCGAATACTCCTACTCCTAAACTGGCTTCTCATCCTCCTGGACCGAATACTCCTACTCCTAAACTGGCTTCTCATCCTACTGGACCGAATACTTCTACTTCTAAACTGGCTTCTCATTCTCCTGGACCGAATACTCCTACTCCTAAACTGGCTTCTCATCCTCCTGGACCGAATACTCCTACTCCTAAACTGGCTTCTCATCCTACTGGACCGAATACTTCTACTTCTAAACTGGCTTCTCATCCTCCTGGACCGAATACTCCTACTCCTAAACTGGCTTCTCATCCTCCTGGACCGAATACTCCTACTCCTTTAATAACATATGATGTTCATGATAGGGTTACAACAGAGCCTCGTCTTATTTCTACAGTGATAACAATACTTAGTCCCGAAGTAATAACTTTTCCTGAACCGACTACTCCTAAACCGACGACTCCTGCTCCTATAACGTCCCCTCCAGTTGTGATAACTTTTCATGAAAATTTCACACACAAAGAGGACAGCACAGCCAACAACAAGAACCAAGGAACAGAAACGCCAACCGAAGAACTAATATCACCGGCTAACCCTAGAGAACAAGATAAAAAGTCTAATGACACAGTTAACTCTGACGTTCCTAAAAGTGTGCTGCTAAATCTGATCGCGAGCTGTAACAGTATCTTGGCAATTTTTGAAGACATATCTTGAACAGCATCATCGTATTTTACTACAAAAACAACAGAACCAATCTCCCATCTGTCCTATACTTCCGGAACGGACTTTGTGATATTATCAGTTCAATCGGATTCTTGCTTCAAGTCCCTTCAGTTGTTTCTATTCTGAACAAAAGTACCCCGATAAGCCTGCCTTTTCTCAGTTACTTGATAACAACAGTTTCTGTTAGGATGAGTGTCTTCATGAACTGTGTACTGGGTGTGGTCGGATGTATCAACATTCTCAACCCTTGCTACCGGGTAAACAGAAAGAAAGTCACACTCTCTACCTCCGTCTACTTAGCCGTCTGGACTGCAATAGCTACCCTTGATGTCTGGCTGTACTCAACAAAAGTTGGACTAAAGAATAAAGTCTATTTGATTAAGTCGATGATTCTGAAAGCCGAACCAGGATTTTCTATTGCCAGCCTCACTGGACCAAAAGGAGCAAAGTCAACCTCACTTTCCCAAGGAGAAATTGTCTTGGTACAGTTCCTTACACCCATAGCTATTCCAGCTCTGCTTTGTTTCGTACTCATGATAGTCCAGATAGTTCATCTGAATAAAATGCAAATTGTGGGTAGACCTGAACAAAATCCAGACGCCACAAATAAAGAGGTTTCAGGAAAAATGAAGAACAAAAAAAGAGTAAAGCAAAGTAGCAATCAGAAGGCAGCCACCACGATCCTGATTGTGACCACGATCTATGTACTGACCTCAATCATCTCTGTTGCTGCGTGGCTGGTGGTCTACAGAGACCATCTTGGAGGAGGAGACGAAAAGATGAAGAAACTCTCCTGGGTAGAGTTGGGTGTCATCTACTTCTCTACTTCTACTCTTCCTCTACTCTGCTCTACTCTGACGCCTCTAACTCTACTCACCAGAAGTGATGTCATGCAGCTCTACCTACAAAATGCACTGAGGAAAATATCCGCGTCATGCAAAGTTTCGAGCAACAGAACTGGAGCGGTTGAACTTCAAGGAATCACCAAATGCAAAAATTAAAGAAAATATTAACTGCTCTGTGTGAGCTAGACTAGACACGTGGATACTGGTTGGGAGGTGAGACACATGAAAATGATTCTGATTTCGATTGGTTGCCAAAACAAGCTGATTGACTTATGGTTGTTTAATTTTAGAAAAATATGGTCCACCTTCCACTAATATGTATCTAAGCGCTATTATAGACAATTAAGTATTTTTTTATCAAGACACTTATTTTACTTCGGAGTATTCCAACTGCCACATTGTTACACAAGTGCAACCAGCCAATTACAGGAAGCCGAAGGATTTGTTTTTAGCCAGTGACGGTTAAGGTAGTGTGTACGCATACTTTCTTCGCTCGAGACTTTGCTGCAATGTGCAGCTCCTCATTTAACCCTCACTCCCGATTTCTCGAGTATTCGGCTGAGTAGACCGGGGGCTGCATAGACCACTCAGGATCCTTAGCTGAACGTCAACGACGCTCACCCCACGACCAGGCAGACAGTGGGATTTGAACCCGCAACCTCACGATTGCAAAGCTGGCGTTCTAACCAACTGCGCTACCTGGCCGTTGGTTAGACTTTCAATAATGCCTCTGGGTAGTGCTCCTCAATCAATCAAAAATATCTAACTGTGTTGAAGATATAGTTTGAAATTTAAATGACAGTCCACGATCGTTATTGTATTGAATATTTTGTCTATGTGTACAGATTTTTAGCCATAACTTAACTACGGACAGATGCATGCAAAATTACGGGGCAAACTTTAGCTTGCGTTTACCTCTTGATATATTTTGGATTTTTAATTAAGGGCGTTTAACGTTTACAATAGCCCACTTACTTCAATATTAGCCCATGTTTCTTGTATTTTGGACAGAATAGTTGCCCGCTCATTATTATATATCAGCAGCTGCTATAACAGCATTAATATATAACCTTTTTATTATATAATTTTTTATAAAATATCTTGTAAACTAGAGATTTGTTGACAGATAACTTCTTAGTTCTTTCATTCAAATTTCTGATTGTTTCTGAATTAGAATAGACTCATTCCAGTTGAATAACGTATCGACATTTCTACGTCATACTCATATTCTGAAATAGTATTAATTCAATTATAACGATCAATATTTACATTAAAAATTTGACGACGAAATTTATTTCAAACAAAATATATAACTGTAAAATAGTTTTTAACGAAATCGGAGCAAAATGAACACAAAACTGACAAAATTTATCAAATAGGGCTCATCTGAAAATTAACGAATAGCGTGACGTGTACAAGAGATAAAAGATTAAAAGAGATAAAAGAAATTAATGGACAGCAGCGGAGTTAAATTTAAACGAAAATATTACTATTTACACGTCACTCAACTGTGTTAGATTGTTCAACTCTGTTTCGTCGTTTGAGTGTTGGTTTCTTTTCAACTTAAAATCGGGCTTTAATCTTTCTGTTGATGAGTGATGTTCCTCTATCTACGTAGTGCTTTGCTAGTTGCTTATCTTCGAAAGGTATTGATTAAGATTAATGAACTATACAGTATACACTATCCTGAAAAGCTTTCTATTCTAGTTGTCACCGAGGTAAAAGTATATTGCTGCAACTTATACAATTAAACTTTTATTTACGAACAGTTAATAAGCTCTCCCTCTAGAGTGTAGAATCATGTTCTACCCCACTTAATTCTATGATTCTAACTAATTTCACGCCCAAGTTATGCTCTTTACTTCAATCAGAAGTGGAGTTATCTAGATTTGTATGTCGTGAAAACATTAAAAAATGGAGTGGCCAATTGCGCAAAACTGTACCATATTCGGAATTTCTACCCGAGCCAAATTTGGTCCTAATGGGTATCTTGAGGTGTTCCAATTATCAAACCTCGTGGTATAAATTATATAGACGGGAATGTTACCAGATCTAATATTTTAGTTAAGTTTAGAATACTCGGTATTCGGTAAGTGTTGGGAAGGTGTGAACATGTGACTAGTTACCATGGTAACACAACGCCAATTAGATAGGTCGCTCCTACAGTCTTCAAGTTAATGGTACTAGTATTCAAGTCTAACAAACTCCGCCGCAGGAAGAGGTTGAGAGGGAACGTGAGCTGAGAGTAGCGATAGGAGGGCAGTTTGAGAGCTATAAAGTTAGAGTACACAGTGTGTTGAAGCAACAGAAGAACAATGATGTCGTTATTGGAATCAGCGAACACGAGGCTATAGTGTGAGTATGTTACTAAGATTGCGTATTACGTGATAAATCCTTTGTGCCGAGGAGAAACGCTTGCGGAGGAGACTTTCCTCCTGTGGCTCAGGAGTCAGGACATATTACGTAATCACCTTTTGAACGATTTTTTACCCCCCCCCCCCCCCCTCCGTAATCAGTTTTACACACAGCTATCGTGTCACAATTACACTAGCGTAATCTTTTGGAAACCCCCCTTCCCCTCGGCTGATTACGTGATATGTGAACGACCCCTTACGACAGAGATCAACTATAGTTCGGTAATCATTTTCATCGCATCCATCCGATAGCTCTTATTATTGTTGGTATTATGTTGTGAAAATACGATTGTCACGAACACTAAATATCTAGTGCTATTTCAGAATCCAGCTTAGTAAAGAGTTGGAGATGTTGAAATGTCAGGTACACGAACTAAAGATGTCACGTGACACAGTCACGTGTCAGAGCGAGGGTTTAGAGGATGAACTGTCGGCTGTTATTGGTAATCTGGAACGGATAGAAAGGGAGAGCACGGAAAGGGAAAAGTTTTATTTGGAGAGGTAAAGTTACTTTAAGTAATACCGTGCCGTTTCTTTTATTCTGTGCCACCACTGAGCCACCATGTTAATTATCCTAAAAATACGAGCATTCCTTTAATCTAAAACCTTAGATATATATCGAACATGGAGATACCCCCTGTGGTTTCTTTTTACTAATTCTACAAGTTTCTCTTTCAGAGATAACCGTTTCTACTTCAGAGTAAGGGAGTTAGAGGAGTCCGTGCTTGACAAGGAGCAGCAGATCTACAACAACCTGCAGAGCGCAGCAGCGAGCCGCGCGGCTCTCACTGATTCGTACACCAGGACTATAGAGCAGACTAACTCCTCCAACAAGGATGCCTCTCAGGTACCGCTGTTTACTTTTCATCAAATATATGTTAAAATAGGTTATTTTGAATTGAGTCTTTATACCTACATGTATTGTATGGTTTCTGCTTCTATTTAGTTTAGTGTGGTTTACAATAAATGATGTTTTAATTTTGTCTTTGCCTTATGATGAGTTATACTTTAGTTCACTTTAACACATTTGCTAACATCACTCACAGTCAGCCGCTCTGACATGGTTAACCACCTTCCTTGTGTTGTTGGTTAATCATATGAGCGGGATATAAATACCTCATTTCATTTCATTTCATTTCATTTCATTTCATTTCATTTCATTTCATTTCATTTCATTTCATTTCATTTCATTTCATTTCATTTCATTTCATTTCATTTCATTTCATTTCATTTCATTTCATTTCATTTCATTTCATTATAAAAGCCTGTATTTTTATAGTCTATATTATAAAAGCCTGTAATTGTAAAGCCTATATTATATAAATATTTTAGGCTCCACACATTATATGAATACAATGTCGTGCTAAGTTTTTAGAAAGAATATGACCTACCTTCTTGAGAGCTAAACTATTAGAGCAGTCGTTTTTATTAAATCACAAACACCCCTCTCACAAGTCTGACTGAGAATATTGCAGATGCTACTGAACAGGATTACACGTCTAGAAGCAGAGCTGACCGCTAGTGTGGCTCTCACTCCTTCCTTCTCCACTGAGCCGGTAGAGAGTACTCCTGCTGCTCGACCTCCGCGAGTCAGGCTGGGGGCTGAGGTCAGTGTTCAATCTCTCAATTAGAACCAAATATTGGGTTTCATTTTGGTAAAATAGGGAGATGAAAAAAATCCCCAAATACAATGATTTAATTTCGGGTACGAAATGTGGCAGATTTCGGTAAAAGTTCCCGTATTTTCGTTCCCAAATCATAAATATGTCTCGTAAGGTAGCTAACCATGTAACCATGTTACATTTCGTTTTTTTTCGACAAAGGTAATCTACAAATCTTAGTCAAGTGTTTCTATAATGGGGGGGGGGGGGGGGGGGGGGGGGGGGGGGGGGGGGGGGGGGGGGGGGTCATGATTATTTTTGAGAGTCCCCGACGAAAATGGTCAAATTTTCATTCTCAAAAATTATTTTTGAGAAACGTTTCCAGGAGATAGAGGCGAAAAAACTCATTCTCAAAAATTGATTGCACTGAGTCTCAATTGGACCACATTGCACTGATATGAAGAATGATTTGGTATATCACTATTTTTGAGTGGACAATTTTTGAGAAATGAGAAATCCATGCTGAATTTTCTCACATTCAAAAATAATTATGGGGGGTGGGGGGGGGGGGGGGGGGGGGGGGGGGGGGGGGGGGGGGGGGGGGGGGGGGGGGGGGGGGGGGGGGGGGGGGGGGGGGGGGGGGGGGGGGGGGGGGGGGGGGGGGGGGGGGGGGGGGGGGGGGGGGGGGGGGGGGGGGGGGGGGGGGGGGGGGGGGGGGGGGGGGGGGGGGGGGGGGGGGGGGGGGGGGGGGGGGGGGGGGGGGGGGGGGGGGGGGGGGGGGGGGGGGGGGGGACTTTTTGGTATTTCCCGGCGGGGCAAATTTTAAAACAAAAAAAAATCTCATTACCCCCCCCCCCCCCCCAAATTAAAAAAAACCCCCCCTTTTTTTTTCACCAACCCCCCCCCCCCCCCCCCCCCCCCCCCCCCCCCAAGAAAACCCCCCCCCCCCTCCCCCCCTCCTCCCCTATTTGAAAAAATTCAAAATATTGACTGTTTAAAATGATGAATTATTTAATTATTTGATATTTCGTTTATTGTTTAAAGATTTGCCAAAAACTGCATCCCGCAGTTGTTTGGGGGTCTGTCCCTCAATCTTTCGGTACAGAAATAACCCTTAATAAGCGCAATCCGCTTTTTTAGGGAGTGTCTTCTTGTGTTATTTTTGTTTATTTTTTATTAATTGTTGTTAAATTTGTTTTTTATTTTGTTATGAATTGTTTTATTGGGTTATCCCTATGCCTTAAATAAAGACTTATTGATTGTTAATGTAATTATCTTTACTTTTCCCTCCACAGCCTGAAAACCCCTTTAAATCTTATACATACATGCAATTAAAACTTTTATTTGCAAAACCTATGTAACCCGGAGGCCCCAATTCCAAAGTTTTTTAATTCCTTTGAATAAAATGGGGGATTATCCGGATCCCCGTGGAACGAGGGTAACCCTTTATTTACAAGGTTAATAACCAGCTCTAAGTAGATTTAGTACTTTCCAAAAACACTGGTCTAGGAAAATGCCGGGTAAACGTAAGTTATGATTATAACCCCTTTTTCACTACCCAGTCGTATGGAGTAAAAACTTTTTCAATCCGTCTAACCTTAAATGTTTCCTTTATCAAAACCAACTCCAAACCTCTGACTGATTCAACATAGTTATTCCTCCCCTCCTCCTCCTCCCCTATTCCTTCCCCCTCTCTCCCCTCATCTCTCTCTCCCTCCCCCCCCCATCCCCGCCCTCTCTTCCCCCCCCCTCTCCTCCCCCCCTTCCCCTCTCTTTTCCCCTCCCCCCTCTCTCCCCCTCTCTCCTCTCCCCCCTTCCTCTCTTCCTCCCTCCTCTCTTCCTCTCCCTCCTCTCCTCTTCTCCTCTCCCTCTCCCCCTCCTTCTCTCCCCCTAAAACCCCTCCCCCTCCCCTCCCCCCCCTTGTTCTGTTTGTAACGGGTTTTTTTCTGGCCTCTTACTTTAAAGAAGGGGGGGGTCTTACACCGTGCCCCCAAAAAATGCAACGCCTGCTAGCTGCACGCCAGGACTCCCAAAGTATATACGAAATCATAAAATAATAAATAAAATCAAATGCAAAACCCCGGGGATCTTTGAAGCTATCGCTACCGGGGCTCAGAGAAAACCCCCACTTCCCGTTTTTAGTACTTTCCCCTGCGGGCAGACAAAGGGACTTCCCAAAGCAAGGTCAAAGCCCTGGGGAGAAATGTCCCTCCCCCATGAAAGAGATTGGGCCTAGGTTTTTAAAGTTCCTAGTGGGGGGGATTTAGGGGAAAAAGTGGTTACGGGAAAGGAAAAAGTGGCCAGGAAATTTATCCCCGCTTATCCAGGGGGGTTCCTCGAAAGTTCAAAAAGTTTAAAAAATCCCCTAACTCTATCTTATCACGAGCCTGTGTCTAGCGTGTGTCAGCCCTTACGCATTAGCTGTCTTAACTGAAAAGACCTGAAAAGTGGTTACTGGAGGGAGAAGTGCCAAGACTACTCATTATCAGTGTGTCCTCGTAGTCAGGATGAGCGAATTGGAATCCCTATCTCTGTGGTGGATGACTTCGATGGGACCTGAAAGCTGAAAGAGAATTTCCTGGTGATTTAATAGCTCTTAGAGCTAGGTATCTGTGTCTAACGTGTCGTCATTTGTGTGTGTACTATCTTGTAACCTGATATCTGAAAGAGAAATTTCCTGGTGCTTGGTAGCTGTTAGTGTTGACTTCCTGGTTCCTATGGGAACTTTGAGTTGGCAAGTCCCAACCTTTGTACTCAACAAGAGAGCACACCACCCGTTGGTTCCAACCAGGCCACACCACGCGGAGGTTCGGAGAGGATTTCGTGACCCCAATCAGTTATTTATTAGAATCAGTTCTATATTAGAATTTGCTATAACATGCACTTCTTGATTTCTACCGTTATTTTTCATTGACAATCATTACAACACATTCCAACTGTGAACTGTGTCCATTAGTTCCTATTGTTTTCTCCTCTATTTGCAACAGGATACTATATAGAGATCTACGTTGTGGCCTACGCTACTGCGTGAGCAACCACCGCGACATCTAACAGAGCTGTCTCCGAATGTTGCAGCTGTTGTCCACCCTCCTGAATTACTCGGAGTGTATATTCCGTGTATAACCGCAGTTTTTCTAGTAAATCCCGCCGGACAACGTCTTCCACTACTTAAGAAACAAAACGATCCTTTCAGCGATGAAATATGCTCTAATTCCACAGATGCAATATTGGCTCATCTCACTTTTGAACGAGGATGCTCCATTAATCAACTCAGCTTGTTTATCCTCCAAGGTATCCATTTTCCCTTGTGTGGTCGTTATCTCACTTTTGAACGAGGATGTTCCATTAATCAACTCAGCTTGTTTCTCCTCCAGGGTATCCGTTTTCTCTTGTGTGGTCGTCATCTCACTTTTGAACGAGGATGTTCCATTAATCAACTCAGATTGTTTCTCCTCCAAGGTACTCAACCTCCCAAAAGATAACGGGTACCGAAAATTACTCGGTAACCGTTATCTTTTGTGGACTTACTACTTTGTTCCTTGCTTAGCAATAGCAGTAAAGTGGCTGCTCACGAAAATGTTTTCAATAAACCTCACATTAGATAAATGGCTCAACGGTATTAATATATTATAGCTCAATGAAAATGTAACATCGCGAAGGTAGCGAGATTAAACGGAGTAATGAGGAGCACTTTTGAGATATTAAAATATTCTCCTTGAAATAAAACAACGATTATTCAACAAATTAGTTTGAACTGAAGCAGACTGAGCACAGGGATCCAAAAGGCAACATCACTGGGTTGCCAGGATGATGCAAGTCGCAGAATTTCAGCACTCTCAACGCTGTTTAAGGCCCGGCCGGTCCATCAAATACACGATGTTAATATGTTATTTAAAGGTTGGTGTCCAGGCAACTGCTTGTGTCTTATGTCACGTGACCGATTAAGTGTTTTATAATAAATGGTCACATGATCTGATGATCCCGTGATTTGATTCCAATGGGTGGCAGACGATCCTTTTTCGCTTGACCGTCTCAGATACTTCTTTTGAAGGTGTGAACTGTGAACCTCACATTCTTGGGAGGGATCAAAGGATCGTCATAACAGATACATGATCTAACACGATATAAATAGCAGCTATCCGCTCACCTGGTTATCAGTTCTATATTCGACTCTGCTGGAATTTCTAAACAGTTATAACCGTGTTTCTTTAACTGAAACTCAAAAGATGTCCTTTCGACCAGCATTTCCTTCCACTCCAACTTCACTGCTACCTACCAGTCAAAAGAGAAAAAGAGTACCAACATTAGATTTATATTACCTCCTTCCCATCATCTCTCTGCCAGATAATGTACACTATCCTTGCTATCCTACCAAACCAGTGAAACCACTCTTTCCAGCTCCAGCTCTAGCTCCAACTCCAGCTCTAGCTCCAACATCAACTCCAGCTCCAGCTCTAACTCCAACTCCAGCTCAAGCTCTAACTCCAGCTCTAGCTCCAACTCCAACTCCAGCTCCAGCTCCAGCTCCAACTCCAGCTCCAGCTCTAACTCCGCAACTGCCAACCATTCGAAAGAGAAAGACACTCCCCACACTGACCTCCTTCCTTTTTATCTCTCTACAAGATAAATTCGCTGAACACAAAAAAAAAGATTCTCCCTATTCTACCAAACCACTCCCAACTCTAACTTTGCACTTACCAACGTGTCTGAAGAGAAACCGGATCCCTACTCTGGAACTTAATTCTCTCCATCCATCTTCCAAGGAAGCCTCTATCCAAGGTGAAGTCACAGAACACAAGATTCATAAAACGCGGTTGTCTTCTACCGTACCAACCTCACCTACCCTCCCTCCCAAAGCCGCTAAACCCATGCGATTACATTCTTGCTTGGTTATGCAAACTTTCCATTCTGTTCCTCCCCCCTGTATCAAGTCTGCACCTATCCAACCTGAAACATCTCCAGTTATTAGGATGCGAACTAGCTTTACTTACTCACAGTTAGAATTATTAGAGGGCACTTTCTCCGCACAGAATAATGTCAACCAAGAACATGCTCATAAAATAGCTGTGAAGTTCCAACTTCCTGTTGAGTGCATCACTTCCTGGTTCTCGAACAGAATACACTTGAAGAGAAAACGAGCTCTACGCACACTAAAGATGCTGAAACTGAAAGCTAAAGATAACTTCATTTGTTGATTAGGGGTCTCCATCAGGCACTCGCAAAAAAGGCGTAACCAAGATAGGAAGTTACGGCTTCCACGTTAACCATTATATTTTAACAAAGTATCTGATCAAAACCTGGCACAACTTAGCGAGTTAACTAGGTTTGACTGTTTGAGATGTTATTTGTGCTCCCTAGGGTCTCAACTTCAAAAACATTGATATTTGGATACAAATTGTAAAAGTTATAAATTTATCCAACATTCCATTTCACAATCTACCTATTTAATTTTTGTTTGCTACCTATAAAATGCCACGCCATGGCGGGACATAACACTGAACAACGTATTATGTTTGATACGCACTGTTCGAGGAGTCCGTATTTTATTGCAGAGTTCCTCACGTTTTTCTCCCTTTACTCAATATAAATACTGTAACTGACACTTTACTCGATATAAATACTGTAACTGACACTTCTATCTCCCAGAGGGTGGTACTAAAGATCAGGATAGCAAGATCTCACACCTTAGTTCGCTGCTCAGTGAGAGTGAACATAACGCTGCTGCTCTACAGGAACAGTGCACTGTAAGTTTACCTTTACCGTCTGTACCAATTCATATAGTTATGAGAGCCGTTATGTGAACAGTGGGTTCCATAACAGTATTTGTGCCTGTTGTGCCTAATACTGCACTAACTCAGTAGCTTTTGTGGTATTGTAATCATCACAATGACAAATCAGTTGATTAATGTGTCGTTAGTTTTTAACTGCTCGTAATTGTATTTGGCTAGAACAACCCCACTCCCCCTCCCCCTATACCCCTCCCCTAATGTTACCTTCAAGATTTAAGAAAAAGGCCATGTTGTTAAGATATCAGTCCATAGCACCGCACACTATTTATTTACTATTCTGAATACCATCAGGTGCTGAAGGGTGAAGTGCGGAGATTAGAAAACATGCTCGGTAGAGACAACACCAACATCGAATACCTTAAAAACATCGTTATGAAGGTATTCGTATAATCTTTCAAATTTTACTGTAATTTATATTGAGTAATAGTCTGGGCTATTGGGTGAAACTGAAGTTTCGCTTTCGTCAGCTTTTTTATGCGCTAATTTTGTGTTTCGTGTGGAGTATTTATTTTCTCTCTTCTCATTTACCTAACAACACCCACTCCCCTCAGTTTCTAAATTCAGGGGCTACAGAACGGGAGCAACTCGTCCCTGTCCTTACCACTGTCCTGAAACTTAACAAAGAGGAGATTCCTCGTTGAATAGCAGTGCAGTGTGGGCAAGCGGGAACAAGTCCCATGACAAGCACCTGGTTTTATAGTTCCAGCTGAGTGCCGGGTGATCCAGTGCAGTTGGTGATAAATCGTTTTTAGATTTGAGTGGTTGAAATGATGTTTCAGAGTAGTTTGTTAGGTAATGGTTTTTAAGTCCAAGTTTAAATGATTTTATGAAGAATTTGCATGATTAACAGGTCGTGTTCGTATATTCTGGAGTGGGCTGTAGAAAAAATAAACTTTACTTAATTCCAGGAACGTTGATTAAAATATTGATTAACGGTCAACCGATTTGTAAATGCATGTTTTTGATGTTTTGAGGTTTCGAATGTTTTATTCTTTATTTGATTCTATCAGCCATTATTTGAATTTTAAGTAATTATTTTGTCTTCCTTAACTTCTTTGTCGATGTAAAGTCCGCCATTTTAATTATTGCTGTGACGTAGAAATTGGGAGAATCAGAAAACAACAAACAAGCAAAAGACTAAAACAACCAAATCCACAGTAGACATTGACTTTTGGAGTGAAAGTGTTTAGTTACACAAAGAGAAAATATGCTTAAAACTAATCAGATCACAGCTCATGTTTATCTCAACACTTGACCCTCGATCGACTTTTTAATCTCCACTCATCTACCCTGTTCCCCGAGTGGATCGATCTAGGAAAATTGCATTGTTGTGTTGGGTCGAGCAGTGTCGTGGCCTCCTAGTGGGGTTCATGAACGGTGTGGTTAAAAAAGGGGCAAAAATTTCCGTCTTCCAGTCTTTAAAAATGCGGGCGCGATTAGATCTGTTTTAGTGGTGTACCAAAAGCTTATACGTTTTTTGTTTTTATGAGTAAGCTTGGGTGTGATTGGTGCAAAGTAAGTAAGTAAAAGATTAAAGACATAACATCCATCACAAGTGCAAGGGGGCTAACAAAATAAACCCTTGCACTAAAATAGAAAAAATAAATTTAAAAAAAAAATTTTTTCCCATCAACATTAATTATTTTATCAAAATTTCCCCCATTTTTATAATTAAATAAAAATCTAATACCCTTATATATAAAAAATTTCATTAAAAAACTTCCCATGAGTGAAATAAAAAGAATTTAAAAAACGCTTCTTTGCCACAAAAGGATTTAAAAAAACCCAAAGAATTAATTGGGTTCTTCTTAATTATAACTGGGTCCTCCCAATTTTCCCTTTATAAAACTTATTTTGAAAAA